TCAAGACTTTTTGGACTAAAATTAAATTAGCACGTAAACAATACCTGATTAAGATTCAAATTGAACTTTTGTACTCATAATTTTTTGTTTTCTACTTAATATTTCAAGTCATGTTCTATCTATTTTTATTATAATGCAATTCATTATAACTCAAAAATTTTGTGATATAAAATTTGCTACAAAATATTGAAAAATGATTAATTACAAATTATAAATCGCGATTATCACAAGTTAAGTATAATTTGTTTTATCAGAACCTTATAAATTTACTGGAATTACTGAATTATACAAATTATTATTAATTTTATCACTTTTGTAAGAACAAAATTACAAGTATTCTCACTTAAATCATTATAACAATTATTACTATAATTTGATTCCAGTAGTTCACGTTAAGTGTTAGTCATAATAACACTTACAGTTAACATAATTTGTTGTCCTCATATTTATGAATGACAATAATTATCGTTTTTAAATAGCATTAATAACTTTTAATGAACGAAACGAATTATTACAGTTATATTGCATATTCAGAACTACTGTAAAGCATATAGCTCAAATCATAATATCTTATGGCTATCGTTGCTGTTATAATTAGTATCATAATTATTTTCAGTTCTAGTAAGCTTATTTTAATCTCACAATATTGCCCAGAAATCTGACTCCAAATATTATATTATTGTTTAAAATACGCTGAATAATAACTTCTCCCATTTTTTCCATCTAAATTCTTGCAGTCATACTGTAAAAATAAACACGCAATTGATAGTTCACGGTAGGGAGCCTTTTTTAGCAATAGCAATTACCAGAAAGTAAACAAATACATAAGAAGAAAGAAAATATGCAAAAATGGTCTGTCCTATCAATCAATCACTTTAATTAACGATAATTAATACTTTTTTAAGTATTTGATTATTGTGAATGTGAATGCTTGATTTGTACGCTTCTTATTCAAATTCAGCAGTAATAGTGTTTTGCATTCAAATTTAAGTATTTAAATACATTCCATTTTGTCCAGTAATAGCATTTGACTTCGTCTTTTCTATTTTTAGCATTTTCTGAAAATTTTTATCAGTAAAATATTGCATACAATCATGACATTGTAAAAAGAATTCAGTTTTTCCCACAATTTTTTTTGATTTAATCAAAGTAAGAGAGTTATGCCAATTTTTAATTGATCATTAATTATGATTGTTTTTCCTTCTAAATTTAATCATTTCATATTTTGAATTGAACTATAATTAATATTGAATAAAATTCAATTATAGAATTAGCGATCAGATGAAATTTTGAAAAATGATGAGAAGTTTGCTGTTGTCAGGTTGAAATTTCTCAGCTATAAATTAAATTGCTCAGTCAGAAATACTATTTATTGTAATTTATATTACTCATTTAAATTATCCACAGTGAGTTAATTATCTCATTTGCTCGTAACTAAAAATAAAATTCAAAATTTGTAAGTATTAGAATACTGAAATTATCATTTATAAAATTATACATTTGAATGCATTTACAGTTTAAAGCATTTTACTTTATTAGAAAATATTGATTGTTAAATATTTAAAATAATACTTTTTTATTATCAAATATATTTCTGAATTTGTAAAACATTTACATAGAAATACAGAGAGTTTATTTTTTAAACGTAATGTATGCAAAAATTTAGCTAATTATACTTTGAAAAATAGTTTTGATAATTTCTTTTTGAATATGCAGTACTTTTTCTTTAAAATATAGCCTTATTTTACGAAAATTAATCGTAACTTTTTAAGCTAACTTTTAAACTCTTAAAAGAATATCTCAACACAAAGTTGATAACTGATAGTGCACTGATTGTTATCGGACAGTGGTATTTGCTGATATTTTATCTATCAAAAATTAAAATCAAATTTATTTTTAACGATTTTCACACCGAAACGTTTGAAATAATTAATATGTTGGTGCATATACACCATATGTTTGACAATTTTATCATGCATATCATAATAATTAAATATGAAATTGAATTTACAATTTAATTTTAATTTCAAATTCAACTTCTTAGTTAATTAATATTATTCAAGATTTGATTAACCAAATTTTAGGTACTTACGTTTTCAGTTTCAATCAAAACTTTAAAACTTTTGATTTAATTTTTTATTTAAATGTAATTTATTAGACAAATTTCAACATTCAATTTTAATTTTCAAGTATATTTAATCAGTGTTTTTCATATTATTTAATTTATTAATTAAATATGAAATCGAATTTTAAATTAAATGAGAGGCAAAACAAACTTAGCAATATTTTGATTAGTCTTATTTGACCTTTGGAGGTCTTATTTTCTCAAAAAAGAAAGGAAGACAGTAATTATCATAAGATACGTATTGTAATTATAGTCATTACTATCAGCTGCCTTTGATTTCTTGTCTTCTTTTCGTTTAATAAGTCCTTCTCAAAGTGCTTTCACTTTAATACTTTTTTATTTATGTAAATATATAAGTTTGTCAAGTTAAGTCTATGCATATTTCAGAATTTTCGAAAACTTTAATAGCGTTTTATTGAAATTGTACATAAGTTAAAAACTTATTTCAAATTTTTAAAATTTTTCAAAATTTTTTTTTTGAAATTTTATATCCAACAAAGTAATTCAAAATTTGTTAGCTTATACATACTTTTTTAAAGTGTTGAAAACTTCGGACCTAATACTTTATTATACTAATTATAAAATTAAAGTTGTTTAATGGATAATGAAATAAAACAAAAAAGCTTAAATTAATTTCAAAAACATAAAAGTTTAAATTCTTTCGTTAATTAAATTAATTTCAAAAAGTTAGTTTTTAAAAATACAAAAAGTTGAGAGAAATTTGGTCATCAAAGCTTTATTATACCCTTTCTATATTTGTAAAAATTTTGTTCAGGAACCATCACCAGCGAAAGTAAAGCTAATAGAAGCTAGCTCTCATTTATCATAATTATTTTTTAAATTAAGTAATTACTGAAAATTTGTTTGTTATTCTTATCTAAGCTTATTTTTAAATTTAAACCAACTTTTATTTTTTTCTTATTTTTAATTGTCGATTCTTAATATCAATTTTTAGATGCATTCTTTTGATTTTTTATTTTTACATTAATTTTCTTTAATAATTAGTAAAAGTATAACTAAAGTCAATCGGCAGTAATTTTATGATTAATGGTAAATTTAGATGATTTTTTGGAGACTTCTAAAATCTATACAATAAATAATATTTTTGGATTCCCATTTTTTAGTGCATTTTTTAGTTCTTTCAGTAATGGAAAGCATTTTGCTCAGTAGCTGAAAATTATGTAAATTTGACTGATAAACTGATAAATCCATGATAAGCAGATGCTTATTTATGCAATTTATAGATCAGTCGCTTCCTTATCTTTTTTCTAAATATCCAACAGTAATTTGCGAAAAATTTGTTCAGTTCTGTGTTTACTAACTACATTAATTAAAAAATCAAATTTGAATTATCAAAAATATGAAATTAGTGCTGAATGATAATTTTATCAGTTTTTACAGTGCTTTAATTAATCTATATAGCATTCAAACTAAAATATATCATTAACTGTAAAACTTTTAGTAATTAAAAATAATGCCATCTAACTTTTATATTAGTTTTAATTTATATTCCGCAGTATATTTACTTAATTAAATCACTCAAAATAATCTATTAATTTTCTACTTTGTCTTTCCCACTTTTTTAAATTTTCCAGTAAAAAAAACTTTATATTATTAATAAAATAAAGCTTTTACAATAGTTACATTTATAATTTTCAAATTCAAAATAACATATTTCCTGGTTGGATGAAATATAGAATATTTAAGCAAGTAATAATTTTTGATTGTAATCATTTTTTAATTATCTCGGGAATAATCCCAATCACAATCTAATCTCACATAAAACCTTTCAATCTTAAATTCAGCGACACTACGACGCTACTTTGATATGGTCATATTCATTACATGAAATATGTATGAAGTCAAATATTTGCCTTTAATTTTATTTTCCATCAGATTCATATATTTTCTTATTATTTATTTTATTTCGTTAATTAATTCTTAATTGTTTTTGTAATTTTATTTTATCTTTTTTTAAATTTTTTAATTTTTTAGAAGCGATTTGTTTTATTTAAAATTTTATTATTTTTTATTAAAACAAACAATCAAAACAAAAGTTTGTTTATTGTATAAAATAAAGAAACTAATTTGTTCAAATGAAGTGATTTGATATTATATTACAAAATTGTTAAAAATAAAAGCATTTTAGGTAGAACAAAATGTTGAATCTTTAAGTTGAAGTTAGTTGAAAAAGCTAACAAAAAAATTTTGTTTAAATATTTACTGTACTGAAATCACTTACTAACTACAGTTGACATTAAACATTAACATCATTAGCTCAAATTTTGAGCTAAAGTGAAATAGTATATTTTAATGCTATGTTATGAACTAAAATATGCAAATTGGAATAATTCTATTTCATTTTTAGAAATTAGTAGATAATAAAAGATTGAAAATGGTAATTAAATTCTTGTACGGTGTCAAAGTTCAATTTCAGCAGTAATATTTTGCATTACTGTAAGTTTAGAAATAACTTCAATATGGCTCAAAAATGAAAAGTATTCTTTATATCAGCTTTTCGTGAAATATATATTTTAATTTGTGTTGCATTACTGTAATAATTAACATTTTTGCTTGTTACTGCAAAGAATATTTTTATTTTTTCACTATTATATCATTGTAATAGTATTTTTTGAATAAATACATTTATTTCATCTTATATTGTTGAACTTGCTAATATTTTCTTGATGTGAATTTTAATTTTTGCAGTTTATGGATGTTAAGTGATGAATTGGGTCTTCCATTAATTATCACTGAACTTTGAACCAGTACTGCTTATCTGTAAATGATTGACTACTGATTTACTGGCATATAGCTGCTAACAGAAATTAAAAATATTGTTGTACTGTATTTTTGGGCGGAAATTTGTGATCAAATGGAAAATATCTTTCATTTTTGGTCGAAGCTTCCAATTTATCATACATTACTTATTCTCGTGACCTGTGGGGTCATCTTATTATCAGCATTACCTACTCAGGTTAAATTAGTGACCATTTCGTTTATTTGTGAAAGTTTTTACAAGTTTAAAATAATTAATTTGAAAGATCATTATTTTACTAACGTATTAATAAAGTAATGACTAATTAGAAAACTGTTATAGCTTTAAATATTTAAAAATTCATTCAATTATTTCCAAAAATTTACTTTTAAATATCAATACTTTTATAAATAGTGAAAATACTAGTTACTCTGCAGTTTATGATAATAATTTTAAATAATGATTGCATGATGATTTTACATTTTTACATTTATTTTTGGATTAAAAACAAAAATGAAAATATCATACAAATTTGCATATTTTTGTGTACATTATTGGCAAAGCATTCCAAATAAATTTATGTCGTGAGAATTACAAATTATAAAATATCAAACCTTCAAAAGTGAACAGCAATGGTATTTGTAATAATTAAAAGATCAGCTTTAAGTCATTTAAAAATTTTTTAGGATATCAAAATTCAAAAAATTTAAATTCCATATAATGTCGACTTTGTTACTTCTGTAGTCTAAATTTTATTTGAATGCTGCAAAATTACGGAATTCGACTTGATTTAGCATAAAAATGTTTAAGGATAGGTAATTGAAGTTGTAATTGACATTAAATAATGAGAGGTTTTAAAAGTCCCAACCACGAAATTGAATATGCTTACAAAATAGATTTATAAAAATATTATTCACTTGATTTCACAAATATATTGTAGTTTATTACAGTTTTAATCAGTAAATTAAAACTGTAATTAAAATCACATTTGAAAAACTATTTATCATTTTTTCAAATTCAAAATTTATTTATACTTAAATAATTTTGTTACTTTTCTTAGTTTATGCATGAATTTTGTAAATAATAAATTAATAATTTTCAGGCAAATGAAAAAACAGTAATAACACTGAAAGATTTGACAGATATTATAGTAGAAAAAAGTTGTTCTTGTGCAGAAAATGCAGAAATTTTGAAAAAAAACGATGAACACTTGAGATTACTTTTTAAAATCTCATCCGTACGTGTTGTAAGCACGCTGCAAAGCCTCGTAAATCACGTAAATGGTAAAAAATTTTTTTAATCAATTGTGTTGTGTTGCATTATAACATTGCTAGATGTTGTGTTCACAAAAATGTGATAATTACTATGACCTTTATTATTATTAATTATTTTTGCTTTTAATAACAATAATTATTTTTCTTTTTTTGTCACTCAATTTTATCGCTTCTATAAACAAAAGTGATACACTAATACTCTGTAATAAAAATTGATGTAAAGTTTTTGACAACATAAAATTATGTAAATATTGTAAGAAATTGTTTGTATTTTAATAAAATAAGTCTATGATAGTTTGAATTTCAGCAGAAGTTACTTATTTGATAGATTTAACTCGATGGAAATTATATGAGGAGATCAAGAAAGTATTTTCAAGACTGCTTAGCCAGCCATCAGTTACCGAATCTATTGATGAACTTATTGATAATATTCGCAATCAGCTTTTTATAAACACTGTTCGTTTTTTATTAAGCTGAATATTCATTTAATGTTTATTCAATTATTTGATTATTATATAAAAAATTCCAATCTTTACTTACTATACGTCAAGGTAAGCAAAAAAAAAACAAAACATTATGTGTAATAAAGATTTTGAAAACTTAAAATTTTAATAATCACAATGTAATTTTTGAAAATATTAAAGCTAAATTTATACATTTGATAGTATAATTGTTTATGTTAAAAAATTGCTATAAATAGGATATGCAAAAGATAATCTAGTTTGCAATTATAACTTTAAAACTCCCCTATTTATAGCAATATTTTATCTGGATCACATTATTGAATTACTGTAAATAAGTAGCATAAAAAATATTAATCAACAAACATTATAGGAAATATCACCGCAACGTTTGGAAAAAGAAGTTGAAAGGATTGTACAAAAATTTTTTGTTCAGTTAATCCCTCCAACATTTTTATGCATTACTACAGGACCTTGCAAATCTGTATCTCAGTCGTATGCCAATTGTCTACAAAACAATGCACCATCTTGGAAAATATTTTTTGGAGCAGAACCAAGCAGAATCAGTGCTTTTTTACGTCAAACAATCTTAAAATATCGTTTAATAGAAAGTACCATCGATAAGTTGCATAGGTAAGAAGTAAGTAAACTTGCTAATAATCTCAGATAATTAAACCGAATTTAAAACTGCAAATTTATGAGTACAAACATAATAGTTTATTGTCTTGATCATGGAGTTACTACCTTTTAATTGATGCTTAAATTATGCTTTTTTATTTCTTCAAATATTGCTTGATTCATAATTCGAGTTGAAATTTTGATTACTGATATTTAATTCAAATGGCTTAAAGAAATATCATACGATTGTCCACTAAGATGAAATTAAAACTTTTAGATCAGCAACCGAAATTGAATCAATCAATGATATATGTTTAACACGATATACTCTGGTCACTAGTTGTGCTTCAAGTTGTTTACCAAAACAGTCTAGCAATGAAGAAAATAAAGCAATTGGTTACTGTAGTGATGACTGTAAAAATGTTGTTCGCGCATGCTTACATGAAGGTGCTAATGATTGGGATGCTTTTATATCAATTTTGCGCAAATTAAGTGCCGATTTTGATAAAGGTTTTATTGAAGTAAGTTGTTTTATAATTGGTGAACACTGATTTTTAGATGAAACTTAATTTTATTGCTTCTTATATCTATTAATTAATAAACGATAATATGCTATACTAATATATATAAAAAACAAAACTGTTCAAATTCAAAATCTGATATTTACTTATTTTACTTAATTCTAAAAACTGTGCTACGTATTTACTCTTTAAATACGAGGCAAAGTTTTAAGAATCAAATAAACTGACGTTTAATTCTTATGCCAGAAATAAAGGATTCATTGCCCTATACTAATTAGGCAAGCTTTTTTAAACAATTTACTTCACAGTTATAAAATCTAAGTTTTTTTTTCTCCAATTCATTTTTGCTATTTTAATTACCAAAAATTTGTGATTCCGTAAAAAATATTAAATTAAAAAAGGTTAAATATTTAAACTTTTATGCAAACTTGAAGTCTTTCAGAGCAAGATTTTTCGTGTCTGGCTTATTTTCAAAGAATTTAGCTTACTAAAATTTTAATTTGCGTTCTATGTGATCTTTTTAATTTTTGAGATTCTAAAAAATCAAACGATTCTACTTGCATATTTTTTTAATCAAAAAGTTAATTCATGAAAATTCAGTAAAATAACTTGATTCACCACATAGCATAAATTGTTGTTTTTTGCATTTGCACGTGAAAAAGTTTGTAGCAAGCTTATTTAAGCTGATTTAAGTAACCAATTCAGTAAATTGAATACACCATTTTTATCATATTACTAGTTCAAATATCTGCATGTTTTGTTTAACAAAATAAGAGAAATGCTTGCAAAGCCAGTCTTTAATAATCACATTTTATACTTATAAATGTTTAAAAATCTGTAATTTAATTGGAATCTTTTCAAGCTTGAAAAAGGCATCGTTCGTTCAATGTCGTATGCAACCGAAGTACGAGCTCCAGTCATAGCAAAAACAGTCATACAAAAATGCGGACGTGTTAGCTACGCGAAAGTATCTGATAATACTCGAAAAGTTGAATTTACGAAACCAAATCCAATTCAACGAAAAGCTGCTCAAATGATTCGACAAGTCAGTAATAATCAAATTTGCAACTTTCATATAATTTATGCATGTAGTAATTTGCATAATTGCTCAAAAATTTTAAATGTTTTTATATACTTAAACAAAGTGAGAATTAATTTTAAATTTCACGAAGAGTTAAATTTTGAAAATAAATTTTATTATTATTTTTATTACAGCATTTACATACATAATGACATTCAATCTAACTTATAATTAACTTATTGTAAAGTATTTAAATTTTTGATCTTATTATTTTAAATATTTACATTTTATCTATTTGTTAGGAAAGTATATCATTTAGGAAGCTTCAAATACTCGGCTAATTTTAATTTAATTAATATTGCTCTTCAAATCATTCAAACAATCAGGCTATTTAGCATGTTTAATATTTAAGTAATTATTACTCAGCAGAAACCTTTTTTGAATATCATTAAATTTGATGCTTACTTGCCACAATTAATTACATAAATAAATCAATTATTTAGCATTTTTTATTCAAAATATTTGATTAAAATATTTGAAAACATACACTTAGTAATTTTATATGATGTAAAGTTTCAGTCATCAGAATCAGTTATATGCATGAAAAAGAATAGAAATTAATATTCTATATTTAAATAAAATATTCTGACAAATGAAAATTAATGTTATCCATATCGTTAAATACGTGTTATCAGACATTCAATATAACTTTTAATTAAATTATAGTCAAGTATTCAAATTTTTGATCTTATTGTAATTCATAGATATTTACGATTGAAGAAAAATATTTTAATTGTTTGATTCAAAAAATATTTGGTTAATGTTTACGATAAGAATCAAACCCTAATTGCTACAAAAAATGAAGGATAGAATATAAGCTATTGTTATGTAAATAAAAAGAAAAGAAGAAGCAGTGAACAAACATTTAAATTTTTAAACTAATTTTAAAGTATTACAGCAAATAATTCTTGCAGAAAACCAATTTGCATTTTTTTTTGACTTGCAAATTTGTAATATTTTATATTACATAATTATTTTCTTAAAGTTTCGAATTAATTGATGCTTAAATCTTCAAAATTTTGAGCAATTTTTAATGAATTATCCACTGAATTTCATTGTTTAAAATGTGTTTAAAACTAAAAATGTGCAATCAGTCTTTGTAATCAAATTAATACTCAAGAACCTATCAAGTTCATATATATTGTTTTTTATGATGGAGCATAGTTCATTCAGGTTACCTTTGACTTTCAGTTATATCAAATATATTTACACAATGATAAGTTATTTGAATACTATAAAAAACAATATATAAGAATTTGATTGATTATTAAATAGACAGAATTGAAAAGCTAGTTTTTGATTTTTTATAAACAATAATAAAATGATAAATTTTAAATTTATATCAGGAATATTAGTAAATTGAAGTGTTGTTTTTGATAAAATATTGAATATACTGACTGCTCCTACAAATTTCTATATATACTAAGGAAGTGAGCAAATGTGTTAAACTTTTGTTATCATATTACAATGCATGAGAATCAGCTGCTCAGATTTTTATAGAAATTTTGAAATCTTGATTAATTTCCTTAAAGATTGAATCTTAATATTACGCATAATTTTTACAATTTTGGGATTCAAAAAACTGATTAAACGAATTAGAACTTATATTTTAAAAACAATTCTAAAAAGCAAAATTAATTAATTTTACTTTCGGCTAATTTTTTGCCTCAAATACTTTATTTGTATTTAATGAAAATTTTATTTTCAAAATTTAATTCATCTCAAAATTCAGATATCAGTCATCCGTATATTCATATTATGCCTTTTTTTTCAGATGCTATTCATTTGAATATTAGCTTGATCGGATATTTTTTTAATTTCACTAAACAAATAACAATTTTTAAGGGCAAAAAAATATTAGTAATTTGTTACATTCACACTGTGAAGGATTGAAAAAAAAATTTGATCAGAAAGCTTTTTAAATTAAATTTTTATGGCAATTTGTAAATTTTCTTTCTAATTTAAATTAGGAAATAAGCAATATTTTGCATGGTATGAAATTTTAAGAGCTTTTAGTAGTAAAAACCGATTAAAATTCAGCTTTAATTTTTTAATTTTATAGTTGAATATACATATTTTTTAAATTAAAGATGTTGAAAGAAAATTTTTTAGCTTTTATAAAATTTGAATTAATCAAACTCGAATTTAGTAGTAAACACCACTACGGCTAACTTTTTACTTTTGATAAAATATTTTAGAGCAAATCAAATAGTAAAATATTAATTGTAAAAAAATTATGAAGTATTTAATGATTAATATAAAATTATGACAAAAACAATCATTTCAAAGATGAAACTAACTAATTCATTTTTCTGATGATTGAAAACTATTTTAAAATTATAATTCAAAATTAATTTATCTCTATCTATTTTTTATAAAAATCGCTGAAAATCTAAAATAGCTAAAGAAATGATTTCTAGTTTTCCTTCGTTCTAAAATGATTTATTTGTTTAAATCACTTCACAATTTTTAATTTTTTATAAATTTTTTAGAAACACAAACTACAATTGATGTTTGATATACTCATTTTCAACAAAATATGAATATTCTTAAAATTTTTGCTAATTATTGAAGCATTATGTCGTAGTTCATAGCGTATATATATTGAAAAGTTAGCGTAATATGACATTAAAAATTTGCATACTTATTTATTTTCAAATTAATTAATGTTCCGAACTGGCAAGCTTTAAGTTATACGTTATGAGAAAGTGAAAAAAAGTGTATTTGTTATTTGTCATCAGAAATTTTAAGTTACTTCTCTAGAAAAAAGGCATTCTAAAAATCATTATCATCAGAAAACGATTTTTAGAACGAACTTTTTCCAAGTTTTCAACAATTTAACTTTAAAACTGCGCAACTATTGTGATATAAATATTGCAGTAATAATATTTTGTAGTTTAAGTGTGAGTTTTATTTATTATATGCTATATAGTTTTATTTATTATATGCTAAACGTATAGCATTTAGACTTAAATAAAAAAAAGTAATAATAAGTCATAATGATACTGAAATTTGAATGTAGTTTCATGATCAAAATGAATATTAATAGAATGGTAATGTTAAATAATAATGTAAATATTTAAAGAACTCTTAAAGCTATGTATTTTATTTGCTAAAATAAGATAATTCACTCTGTAGTAGAAAAAAATCAGTTATGAATGGTATTTGTAGCAAAAATGGTAAGAATGGAATAAATATGATCATAATAAATGTAATGATAATAATAATAATAATAATAATAATAATAATAATAACAATGACGTTGATGATGATTTTTTAAGAATATTTTAGCTTACATCATATGTTGGGTGGTGGCGCCAGCTTGTAAATAATGCTTGCAGTAATCCATCACAAACATCCAAATGTTGGAATGGTACCGCTGTTATTGATAACAGGTGTGTGCTTTATTTTTGTTTTTTGTATTTTTTGATTTTTTTGTTTTTGATAATTTTCAGTAATTTTGAGAAAAGAAGCCGGGAAAATTTCCATCAGTTATTTATACTAAGTTAGATAGCTATTTGAAAGCTTGAATTAAGTACTCAAATATCAATGGACAAAGTTAAATTTTTTGAAATAACAGCAAAGATAAGCTCAAGATAACTGAAAATAATTTGCATGCAATAACAAAAAAGAATAGTAAATATTTTTAAGCATAATTTCTTGTTCATATATTTTATCTCAGTTTATGATTATTTTATGACTGGAAAAAATAAGCCATCCAATCCAATATTGTTCATTTCGCTAAATTTGCATAAAGTCATCTGAATAATTTTTGATTAATACAGAAATCTGTATTTTAGTTTTTATAAATTATTGTAGAGACTGATTATTCAAATTTATAATTTTTTATCGTTTTTCCATTCGAAATTGGTTTTTGTAGAAACAAACTTAAGATAAAACATTATTACAAAGTTACTTTGATAAGACTGAAGTTGGTTTTTCTTAGCTTTTCGATCTTAGGTGGCTTTAAACTGCTTAGTTTTTATAATTTTAGAGAGTAAATTTAATCACTTATCTAATAGTTTGCGATTTTTGAGATTAACTTTTCGTTTTAACTTTGCTTTCCGCAATAATCTTACTTTGTTTTTACTTACTGAATATTATTATTACTTTGAAATTAGTGATTTTCATATAATTGTACTCTATTACACTATAATCGAACCTTAACTCAAAAGTGCTAGGATTCAAAAATCTTCTTTGTTAGATTTTTTATGCAAAGCAAATTCAAAACTACATAAATTAAATATTCATTGAAGTATGGAAATTAAGTTCGAATGAAAATGCGATAAAAATGAAATTAATTCAAAGCAATCAAATTTTATTTACAAATTAAAAAATATAAGTAAAGACATTTTAATTTAGGAAATGATAAAGCTGCCTTGAAGAAAAAGTTATTTTTACATTAATAAAGAATTTAGTACAAATTGAAGACCGAAAATTTTGATCAAAATTAGAAATGAAATACTTAAAATTTTCCTGATAAATACAATAAATAATTTGATTGAAAATATCAAAGAATGTCATAAATAGATTACACTGAAAATAAATATTAGACGATCGGTCATATCTGAAAAATAAAAAATTTATTTTTGCATTTTTATTTATAACTCTTTAACTTGCACTCTTTTTAGCAAAAATAGTTTTAAATTTTGATAAAAAGTAAATTTTGAATTTAGAAGTTTTTTTGAAAAAATATTTATTTGTTTTGTTAGATAAGAGGGGGTTATTAGTTATTGTTGCATAAGTTGTACTTACAACCAAATATTTACGATTACTGCTACAAGACTAACAGTAATCGTAAATAATTACGAGCAGTTTAGCGTTGAATTCAAAAAAAAATAGTAAGTAAGAAAAATTGAACGATAAAAATAATTGAGCAAAAAATTGAAAAGTTTAAAGATGCATATTGTTGAGTGTTAATTTTAATTCAGTAAAAAATGAAGGGAAAGTCAGAAACTGCGTAAGAGTCTTCCAGATGGATATGGTGTTAGCTAATAAGTATATTATTGAAATAAAAACCAAATCAAGCTCAACCTTCTTAAAAATAGATTAGGTATTAGAAAGAAATAGACTTAATTTTGAAGTTAACAAAGTTGAAAATTGAAAAATTACGGAATTTAAATATAAATTTGTAGATAAAATCATATTAATTTAATGCATCTAAGCTCACAACTGATATAGTGCTCAACAAAATTATTCTAATTTAGACAAATCTAACCAACGTAATTTTATTCAGATATCCTTGTGAGACTTTTAATTGTACATATCTATATATCATATTTACTACAACTT